TGCTACAAATCCTGAGATTCCTTCATTTATACGATTTCAATCATTTCGTTTTTTTCTCTCTCTTTCGGCCAAGTACGCGTCAAGTACGATTATCAGAGCGCTGGGAATCGCTGATGGGGCATTCGGGATCAGGAGAGTGTTGACCTTTGGTGCATGGACAACAGTAGTTGACAGACCCTGGTTGAAAGTATATTATCTTAACTCTCGCCAGATATCATTGAGGTGTGCGAATAAGCATAACTTCGCAAACATTGCCCATGACCGAAAGAAACATGCGTTTGATAATAAGGAAATCTAGATTAAGATTATTTGCTCAACATAGAGATGACGATGAGGCTTCCTCGCCGCAACGAACCCGTCGGCAGCGTCTACTTTGGAGTGGAGAAAGACCAGGAAAGTCCACTAGATTCTTCGGAAGCGCAGAGGAGCGCTGCGCCGGAGCACCGACTTTTCTGCAAAGGAGACATGCTGATGACCTGCAATAGTGCAGAGGACGTCGATACAAAAACCAAGGCCTTTTTTGGCTAAACACCGCCGTGTTCTCGTAAACGAATAACATAAGCTTTACTTCATTGGGTTGCATACAACCCCTCCGCCATACTTGGGGTGGGACGCAATACATCATCAAAGGATGCTCAGTACAATGTGTATGCTTAAAGCATACACAAAAGCAAGATAGGACATGGGACTGAAGATACGCGCAGCATGGTACGGATATATAAGCTTACGAAGAGGAGCTCAACTGAGAGTTGACAAAATAGATAACTAACGGGGTTGCCAGTGCGATATTTGCTGCTACGAGGAGAGATTAACCTAGGCAGCAAGCGTAACATCCAAACTAAGAGCCCCAGACACAGTTGCAACCTTTAATATAGCAACTCCTAAGAAACAACATCATAAGAAAAAAATAAACAGACAACAGGGGAGGGACAACTCAAGCCCATAGAATTACCCCTCAAAAAAAGCCACAATCTCTGTCTTCGGTCGCCCGGGGCAAGGAACTGCCGGCGACCCATTGCATCAGCACCAGCGGCGGAGGCCGAAAGCGACGGTTTGCCAAGTCGGATCAGGGAATGAGACAGAATAAAATAGCGGGTCTCTGCGATGGGATGCGTTCTGTTATGCTACGAACTAACTAATCACGGCCATCCCTTGGCCTCCCGGCCAATCCAGGGGTCTGCATCCGTAGGGATGCCAACGACTTAGACTTTTCCGATGGACTCTTTGCGGAATAGCACCAATACATCGTACGGAAGACGCGGGTTACCTGGACCCCCCCCCCCTCTCCCGCGTGATGGGGAATCTTTCCTCACCCTCTAGACAATGGTTCGCAATGGATATTGCTGAAAACATCTCTGTCTTTGGCATGACATCTCAGCCTGTGTGATTTCTTTAGACGTGCGTGAGGTGCTCCCAGTTATCGATTCGATTGATCTTCCCCCGTCCAACGCAAACACAACCCGTCGTCCATCGCCAGGATACACCGCCCGCTGCGCTGCCTCCCGCAACGTCTGGGTGAAACTATCCGCGCCATCCGATCGCTTCCCACGAAGCCGGGAAAAGCCACGCTCTTCGAGCCATGGCTGAAACGTCGTCCGCCGACAATGTCAGCATCGTCGGCCGGGTCAGGAGCGCGTCCGTGTCCATCATGAACGTGAACCCCCAACTGGGCATGTGGCAGGCGGCCGGCACGGCGATCGCGCATGCGCCCAGCCTCATGGAGCTCCGCGACCCCGACTCGGGCGGCGACAACATCGCCTTCACCTCTCAGGGCCACTCGGCGCGCCACGCCGTCCAGGAGCCCCAGGGCGACCTGGCGCTCGTCAGGCCCGTCGCCGGGCGGCGCGCGTCGGCCTTCTCCGACGACGGGCAGCCCGGGTTCCGTAACGTGTTCGGCGACAAGTCCGGCAACATCAGGGAGGCCGAGGAGCAGCCCGCGTCAGCCGAGACATTGGACGAGGCGCCTGAGAGCCAGCGGTCCAGCGGAGGCCAGCACTTCCGGCGGCGCCAAAGCCTGTATGAGAAACACATGGCCAAGGAGAAGGCGCCGTGGAAGACGACAGTCACCAACGGCCTGAAAGCATTTTGGAAATTCTTCCTCACGCCCTCGGGCTTCATCATCACGATTTACTGCCTGAACATCGTGGTAAGTCTCGCACCTCGGCCTCCCCCCCCCCCGGGTTGCATTGTTCAACGTCAAATTGCTAACACAGCCGACAACATAGGGCTGGGGAGTGAGTGCATCCAAAATAACAGACAGCCCGAGGCCGCCATACTGACTTGTCGCACCCAGGCCATGCTCTTCTTTCTGCTCCTCAAAGCCGCCCCGGCAATGAACTACCCCACCGCCGACGACGACAACTCGCCCCGGAAGAAGTGGCTCGAGATCAGCAGCCAGATCCTTAACGCGCTCTTCTGCGTCACGGGCTTCGGCCTCGCGCCCTGGCGGTTCCGCGACCTGTACCTCTACGTCCGGGCCGTCAACTTCAAGAGCCGGGCGGCCATGCTGAAGCTCGCCGCGCAGAACAGGGGCTGGTTCCGGCCGCCCGCGTGGGCTGCCGAGGCCGAGAAAGCGCCGCCCGAGACGTTCACGGGCCAGGCCGCGCCGCCGACGGCGCTCTGGAAGCTCGGGTTCACCATCTGGATGATGGTGCTCAACACGTTCCTGCAGGCTGTGCTGTGCTACTTCATGTGGGGATACAACCGGCTTGATCGACCTGTAAGTGACCGGAACGCGAGCGCGCTTAGGAGCCCAGCTACTCCCCCCTCCCCACCATCGTGCTGGAGATGGCTAACACGGCAGCTAGTCATGGGCCACTGGCACCTTCATTGGCTTGGGATGCGGGGTCGCTATGCTTGCTGGGCTGGTGTCGTGGTGGGAAGGGCGCAAGGTCAAGAAGATTGAAGGCCCAGGGGTGAAGATTGTTCAAGAGGTATAGACTGTTCATATGCCCCGGCCATGGGTCCTAAGGGCTCGTGTAGAAGAGGCCGAGTGCAACATTTGCCATGCTCGGCAAGCAAATCGGAAAACCGCATATACTATGTACTTTTATAGGTGAGCGCTTGTTGGGTGCGCTGACAAACATGCGACACAGTCTCATCTTCGCTACCCGGTCTGCGATGAGCGAGCCTGCAGGAAAGACATGTGCCTGCATATCGAACATACACATGTTCGTTCAAGTTCCAAACGTTCAAGAGGTTGATATGCCAAGTCACGTCGGCACCAAGAGATACCCCCCCCCCCCCCCCCCCCCCCCCCCTGGTGGGGGCCCGCTGGGGTCAAAGAATACGAGGGCATATGAAGAAGAAAACCGCGGGGTCCTTTTTTAACCGTTGCGAAACCTCGATGCACTTTTCAGAGGCCTGTGCATTTGCCACCATCCAATCGTCATGCGGGACTTGATCTTAAATAGTTTTGCGACACTTTCACCGTCCACCCGCCTTGCGCTCCCTCGCTCATCTGGCAACACCGCCGGGCCTTTTGTTTAAATCTCTAAATAAGAGCGGGGACACACGCGTCGTTTCCCTTTGCTGGAGTGAAGATGCCTTTGTCTCAGCTGTCGCTGTCGCTCGCGATCCTGGCCTCCACGGCCGGCACCTACGCCAGCCTGCGCAACCCCAACCCGGAACCGTCGTCCCCGAGGCCGGGCGGCTCGTCCGGGCCGCCGAAGCACGCGGACTCGATCCGCTGGATGAACCTCACCCACCGGCACACCCCCAAGCTCGTCCTCCTCCCGATCGCCTTTCTGTCCTTCCACCTCGCCGCCCTCGCCCTCTACTACCCGGACGTCCCGCCGGCCATCCTCCGCCACGGCGCCGAGAACGGCCTCAGCGCCGCCCTGACGACCTGGTCGCCCTCGACCGCCCTGCCGCTCGCCCTCATCTTCGGCGCCGGCATCCCGCTCCGCCTCGGGCCCTACCGCTCGCTCGGCAAGAACTTCACCTTCCAGCTCTCGCGCCCCGACAAGCTCAAGACCACGGGCATCTACGCCCACGTCCAGCACCCGAGCTACACGGGCGTCGTCGCCCTCATGCTGTCCAACGTCGCCCTGCTGGCCCGCCCCGACGGCGTCCTGGCCTGCTGGCTCCCGCCCCCCGTTCACCGCGGCCTGCGCGCCGTCGAGTGGATCCTCGGCCCCGCCGCCTGCTCCGTCTTCCTGTTGGGCGTGTGGACGAGGGTGCAGGAGGAGGAGCGCATGCTCAAGGCTGAGTTCGGGGACAAGTGGGAGCGGTGGCACGCCTCGACGGCGCGCTTCATACCCTACGTTTTATGAGCACGCGTTTCCACGCGGTCGGTGCTCGGCGTCCCACAAGAGTTTCCCGGCTGCTGAGGAGGTGGACCTGGTGCATCAGTAGTGGGCTTGGGCCCATGGTGGAACACTAGACTTGGAAACGCAGCGTATGTTGCTTCACGCTCATAGACAATGGCCTTTTTTTGTTCTTTATTTGTTTTTTTCTCTTTTTGACATGTTTCTTTACCCCATCTTTTATTGCCTTTTTTCCTCTTTCTCTTTTTCTTACAGCTTAGAAGGAATGATTCTGGAACAATTTCTTCTGTTTATTCAAACTCTACCCGCAGTCTCTGTGATCATCGTGTCTTCCTCCCTTTCTCCATTACTGCGCAGGTCGGGGCTACGCGGGATATCTGACTCGAGGCTGTATGGGGGGCGGGCCCCAACCAACCACTCCGTAAGTTCCACCCCGAAATGGAGCCTATCCGGCCAATCCGCGATATCTGCGATTCTCCACCGTAGGGCCCTGCCCTCTCTACCAATCTTACTTATTCCATTTGTGATCTCGGCTCATCATCAACCATCAAGGCAAGATGGCCGAGCGGTCTAAGGCGCTAGCTTCAGGTGCTAGTCAAGTAATTGGCGTGGGTTCGAATCCCACTCTTGTCATCTCATGAGCTCTCTCTGAGCAGTTCTCTTTTTGTTTCTGGTGTGTTTTGTGGGTGGCGTCGAGGTTCGGGTTCCGGGACAGCCTGGGCAGGATGTGTGGTTAAGATTGCGCAGGGCATCTGGTCTTGAAGATTCAGTTGCCTCTGTGGAAGAAAAATTTGGTAGACGCCGAAAGGGTGTGACGCCTGCTGAAGTTGATATGGGAGACTCAGGTACCGTGGCAATTGAGGGACTTCAACAGCCAGTGTGACGCTCAACGTTCGGTGACGTCGTCAACACGCCGCCTAATCGAACCCCAAAGACCATCACCGATTGATCTCAAAGGTAATCCGCCCCCCGAAAGCGTTTGAGGATTCGTCAACACGCCGGCAAGGTTTGATCGACTGCGCTAGGCCAAGAACCCCGAATGCACGGAGCCGTGCCGGATCGGTAGAAAAGTGGAACCCCGTCCCGCCCTCCAGCCCGACACGATAAGTCTTTCGGATCTGGTAGCGATTCCGCAATATTATAAGAGAGAAGATGACCGTAGAGTACCAATCTCGCGGGACGTCTTATTGGCGAGATGCCATCGTCATATTTCCAGATAACATTCTGGATTTCAGGATTACAGCCTTCAAACGAGCGGGGCCTGTGGTGCGGCTCGACGGGGTCAGTGAAGTCAATGATGTTTCGAAGGTATTGTTGAGCCTGACATGGGACGAGTTGCTTAGACGCCATCAAGCCGACTATCAGGGGCTGCCTGTGACGCTGCAGGGCATATTTAATCCTTCCTTTGCACCGCCTTGGGTATTCAAGTACACTATTCAACATCAACCTCCCGATGGATTACTGGCCAGCTGGGCCTTGCAACCTCATCAAATGCGCTATTCCCGTCCTCGAACTTCTTGAACGCGTGGCTGAGAGAGGGATGAAGATGGCAAAGACCATGTGCGGTGCGGTTGCGGAGGGTGGTGTGCGCACCACAACACGGACGCATGACATATGGGGGGACACGGACCTTCGACCATATGGCCCTCCTTGGGGGGGTATGGGTTCGTTTCGACGTGTTGAAGATACTTCAGTCAATTCGCCGTTACAAACCGACGGCAACTTTGGCGGGTGCACAAGTATTCTCATATGTTCGGTGCAGTCTAGGAAATGGTCTAGCGATTCGAAGTCCAACACAGTCGAAATACGACTATTACCGCCACCTCCTAGAAGCTGGGGCCGAGAGCTAGCTCACGCGTGTCCGCACCAAGGGCGGCTGGGTCGCGTCGTTCGTGTGGCGGAACGGCGACCTCGTCGAGCCTATGATGGTAGAGTCTTGACACTAAAAATGCTGATGCTCACATTGTTTTTGTTTTTTTCCCCGCCCAACAATTCCGGGACTATTCTGTGTGGCGTCGCACCCAAGTCCGAGCATCAAATTGGTGGCCACGCATACGGTCAGTCCCTTCGACGATGCCGCAGCCACGTTCATCATGGAGGTAATGAAACCTGAAGATGCCGAGATTACCTTGAAAGAGCTACGGCGCCGAAGAGGATCGTTGGCATCATCTTGTGCTGATCTGAGCGCATTCCTGCTGTTGGTGACTGGGGGTTTTGGGGGATTTGGAATACGGGCGCTCATGCCTCACAGCTGCGCAAGCCCAGGGCCCGAATCTAATGCTCATGGAGACCCGAACCCCTAATTTCCCATGCTGTTAGGCGACGGAGATTTCGGTGCATGTAGTGAAGGGACGTTGACTGCCGAGCGCAAAGAAGGCCGCCACTTCCGAGTGGTTGGAATCAATCAAGCATTAGGCGGTGCGAAGCCCTTTTCGGTCAAGGAGCCATAGCTGGAATAGACGGTATCAACCTCTAGGCGTCTGGATGTGGATGTGCTCAGAGGTTGCATCAGAAGCGATATGAAGACGGAGGGTGAGAATCTGTATCTGCGACGGCTGCGACGATCGCGGGCCGCTCAGAAATGGCCGACCAAAACAAAGCGCGTGGCAGTCAAACGGAGCTCCCTGCTAGAGGATCTCCCGCGCGGATTGATCAAACCTTCAGCACTGTGTATTTCCGGGATCGGCTTGCATCAGAGGCTGACTGACCACCCGGTGCACCATGTGGGAAAGAAGTTGAAGTTTGTGCAGTGTCCACAGGCATGAGACTGGTGAGTTAAAAAAAGGTCTCATGCGGACTAGGATTCGGGTGGTTAGCGCTTGGCATCCGACATATGGCATCTGGTATTTTCTTTTTCCACCCGCTGTTTCTCGGTTGTTTTTGTTTTTGTTTTTGTTTTTTCGGTCCCCTCCCCCCTCCCCTCTCCGAGAGATTGGATGCTGCAGACACTTCCGCGGTGCTTCTTGGACCAGGTATTGACGTAAGGCACGACGGAAGCGATGTCGGCTCTGTGCAATGTCATGCAGACGGCCCTGGACCGGCTTGCAGGACCAAGCTGATGAACGGCGACGACGGGACACAAGGGGATAGATAAGGTGGAGCGAGAAGGGGACGGTGCATTGCATGAACTGGAAGTTGGGATGGGCATAGTTAGGTGATGGAATCAGCCCGGGAGCGGCCCTGCTCGTTGCCGTTGCCGTCCGAGGTTGGATTTGGGTTGGGGTCGAGTTGAGGTCGTGTCGTTTTGTGTTGTTACATGCGTCAGAGTATCCATCCCTACATCCAAGCTTCATTGATGAGTCAATGATACGTCGTCATCTGTGGCTGGGATGGTTTCGTTGAAGTGTATGTTTGCAGAGAGCCGTGAAGGCAACGCGCTTGATTCGACAAAGCCAGCCAGACTGCGAGATAGTATGCGATGACGGGTTGCTTTGCTGCATCGTCGCTAAGCTGAAGTGTCATCTTGTTCGACTTCTTCTAGCGCGCTGAAGAATCATAGTAGTAGTTGCATGGCGGCGGCGCATCGTCAGAGGAGGCCACGCCACCCCTCCCCCGCTGCGGTATCCACAACTGCCGACCTGATACTGGTTTCTTCGTCGTTGGCGTGTTGAAGGCGCACTGAAGACAGCAAGGTGACTGAAGCTCGATCGCAGGTTTGACTTGTTTCGTTTTCTTTCTGTATGTGTGTGGGTGTGTGTGGACGGGGAAGTGGATTTCATCCACGATAGTATCCGTACGTTACGTTTACGTAGGTAGGTAGAGTCACGCAGTCACAAAGAGGAGGGGCAGCGGACAGACAGCGCAGCAACTGATGGGATGGGCCACGGAGTGCGGCGGTACGTACCTGGCACCTTCCTCTGTTGCATCTTGCGTTTGTGTCGCGGCTGCTTCTGCTGCCAAACAAAGGCACACACACACACACACACACACACACACACACGCTCCTTCCCCCGCCACCAGCAGTGACTGCTCTTTCCGTCACTCTGAATGGTCCTTCCCAATCGTTGTGGGTCATTGATTACATAACGTTTTCCAGCCACTTTCCTTGGGTTGCCCGTGGTAGCAGACTATCCCCAATCAGGTAAGGCGGCACTGCCACGACAAGGGGCGACAGGGGGCAACCCGCAACAGCAACAGCACCGCACACGCCTGACCGACATCAACATTGATTGCACCGACCCGACCTTTCCCTTTCCCGCCCAGCCATGCCCAGCAGTCCTTACTAGTCGATCCCGTCCCGTCCCTGAAGTGTCCGCGACATCGACATCGGCGTGTGCGATGTTCTTTACCGCCGACATCTGGCCACCGACGACGACACCGACGACGACGACGACGAGACGACAACTCTGACAAGACGACAACCAGCGACCATCGGCACTGACACCCCGGTCCGTCAGGTAAGTCTTCGCCCACCACCGAATCGACCACGACCGCCACATCGCCCATATCGAGCCCGACAGCAACAACAATCCACGCGACAACTCGAGCATTCTATTCAGGTCGGCTCCTGCTCTTTCGTCGAGGTCCTGTCTTCTCTCCGCGCCTTGGTACGACATATCCAACTGCCAAAACAACGACGACAAGGCTTTGGAGTCGGTATGTGCCCCCTCCGCTTCGCCTGTTTTCCTCCATCGCACCGGCTTCTGGACCACGACGGAACTGACGACGACTTGACAGCACACTTCTTCACGACTCTTACGATCACTCTTACCGACTATCACAAGTTTCATTTGTATCAATTTCACCACTTCTATTCGCGACCGCACTCTTATCCCCCCACCTTCGCATCCCTTGCGACTCTGAACCGCCGACCATCACATGCCATCCGACTAAACACTGTGTGACGACGCCATAACAACAACAATAACAACAACAACAACCATGGCGGAGCCACCATCGTCACCGCCCAACGAGGCGGCCAGCTCCGAAGATCAACTGCGCTGGTACAAATCTCAGTACGCATCGCTCGAGGAGGAGCTGGCCGAGTTCCGGGAGTCGAGCAAGGAGCTGGAACAGGAGTTGGAAAAGGACATCGAGCAGGCAGAAAAGAGGGAGCGTAAACTCCAGGAAAAGGCCGAGAGCCTCAAGTTCGAGGCTGAGGAATGGAAGGTAGGATGACGATCTGCTCGTCCGTCCCGTCAATCGACGCACCCGCAAGGAAAGGCACCCTAAGCTGACTCACTTCCCTACCCGCAGTCCAAATACAATCAGGCAAAGAAGGATGCCAACGCAGCCCAAAACGCTCTGGAAAAAGAAATCACCATGCTGCGTGACACCAACAGGACTCTCCAGATGAAGTTGCGCGACATCGAGGTTGTCAACGATGACTTTGAGCGGCAGGCCCGAAACACAAGCTCATCCCTCGAAGATCTCGAATCCAAGCTGAACAGCTCGATTGAACGCAATGTCATGATGGAGGAAGAGATCAGGATCGGCGAACAAGAGCGTGAGACGCTGCGTATCGAGGCGCAACGTCTGCGTGAGGAGCTGTCCGATCTCAAGATCGAGGCCGAGCTGCTCCAGGACAAGATCAAGAAGCAGGAGGCCCGCCACCTTTCCGCCATCTCCACCGACCTCTCCATCCTCTCATCATCCCCGACCTTTGACAAGACGCTGGATGCCTCTCCTGGCTCGACGGCCAGCTCGCCCATGGTGTCGACCCCGCCCGACGACGAATCGCTCCTCGTCAACAAAAAGTCTCAAATCAGCGAGCCTCCGTCCCCGCCCATGTCCGACGTCTCCTCATCCGTGCCGAAGAGGACCGTCTCCCGAACGCCCCTCAAGACACCGGCCAAAACTCCGGCGTCGGCGACGCGCAAGTCCCGTCTGCCCTCGACCGAACACAGCATCACGCCGAAGCCTCGGTCGTTCACAGCGTCCATCTCGAGCAGCCGACCGACAGGAAGCCGTCCCTCTGCGGGCGCATCGACAAGAACGCCCGCCCCTCGAACCGCGCCTCGCTCCATCTCTACCCGCATGCCCGCCAACAATTCTCTCAACCACATTCGGTCTCTTACCGCCCAGATGCAGCGTCTGGAGGCACGTGTCCACAATGTCCGATCGAAACTCCCTGCTCCTGTTACGACACCTCCTCGAGCCTCGCCCCGTTCTTCGGTGCTGGGAGTCCACAGCGTGCCCTCGACGGTTACTATCCGTTCTCGCAAGCGTCCGACAGGCTCCACTGCATCGCGCGACGACACCACGCCGTCCAACTTCTCCGCCAGCACAAGATCCAAGCATGTACCTCGTCTTAGCACGTCAGGCGTCAGCCGTCTATCTTTTGGCCCGCTGCCCAACCGGAACCCTGGAGCTGGAACCGGAATCGAAAACGAGTCTGGTATTTCTCGGCCAAGCTCGCGGGCTAGTATCTCGTCGTATGCCCGGCCTTCGAGCCGTACGGAAATGGCACCTCCCAGACCTATGAGCCGGACCAGCATGTCCGGGACCCGGACACCGATGGTCCGTCCCCGCAGCTCTCTCGGCGGTGGCTTGCACGCGCGCTCTGCTAGCATCAGCAGCCGCATTGACATCGAGGAAGGTGACGAGACGGGCGAATATATAACACCCAGTAGGAGGGGTACGTTTTCTCGCCTAGAGTCAGAAACCGCCATGAGCGGTATTCCTCTGCCGGCCAGTGGCATCCCGATGCGTAGCTCGCGACGCCAGAGCGGGAGTAGTGTCTCCGGGAGGCAAAGCTCGATGGGCCTAAGGGGCTCTGTGATGGGCAATCGGGAGCTAGTCGAGGAGGAGACTTACTAAGCCGGCTCAAACAGCTGGCACACTCACGGAGGAAGATTTGATACCAAAGGAGACGGGCTGGGACGTTGTCGTTTTTTGACTACAGCAAACGGGGGCCCGGAGTTCACTGCAGCTGCGAGCACAGCGAAGCCGCATTACCTTATTCTCTCATTCTTAGCGAGACAGAAAGTCTCAATGTTGTTTCCTTTGTCTATTGTTTCTACGATGATTACGGGAGGGGCTTCAGGCGTGGGTAACTGCATCGTGGCGTTGGTATGATTATGGGTCCGGACAGGGAAAGCATGGCGGTGCCTTGATGGCTTCATTGCGCTATTTTGTTCCGCGAGAGAGGCCTTTTTACACGCAACGCACATACATATCTTGTTCCCAACCCCCTCTCTGTTGGTGGTTATAAACCATGCCTTGGTCCCCGAATATACCGGATTATTACCTTTTTGAAAGCCGCGGTGCCCAGTGTCCCGAGTGAATGAGCGTGGTTTCTGGTGGGCGGCGTGGTTGCTTCAGCGAGGCTAGGGCTGAGAGGTTGGCACTGACACGTTTGCGTCATGTATCGTTGTCGTATGGGTTGTCGCCGATTCGGCGTTGGTTTGGGGGGGGGGGGGGGGGGGGGGAAGCCGAAGGAGAAACCCCCAACCCTTCCCGGTGCATCGATAAATCCGGTCCGGTCCGTCGGCCAAGAACGCCGAACCGGGGGAGAGGGGCGCGGAGGTAAGATTGTCTCCCCAACGACATGGTTCGCGTGCTTAGAGCGAACACCCCCCGGGCATTCATTCCTACGGGCACGGTTCCCTCGGGTCTCGGTGCGGATGCTTTTTTTCTTTTCTTTTCTCTGCGTCCAAGAAGTTTCGGGGGGGTTGTCGCGACGGGTTATATAGTATGGAGCGCTAGCGGGACTTGAAGGATGAGGTCGGGCAGGATGGGGGGGGTTATGTACAGGGTTCCTGATGCGTCGCCGCATGGGTGTGCTGCTTTATACAATACGCATTCTACGGGTTTCGTATGTTCCGCGAATCTACGATTGTGATATGTACGATGAAGCAAATTGGGGAAGTCGTGCGTCTAGATGTGTCCCCATCTTCTCGTTTCTCTGTTTTTGCTCGATATGAAAGCAGTCGAAATAAACACGACGAAAATCGCTGCGCCACTCCACGCCCAGAATGCCGTGCTCTAAATGGGCAATATCCCCTCTTCTCCCCACGTAGAATATGAAACCTCATCGAATGCACTCCTTTCTACCGACATGCCCGCCACGTATCCTGTTGTTGCCCCTCATGCCTCCCCTCCCAGGTCATCATCGCCGAGCAGGGCGCAGGGCTAAGCTGAAAAGCTTCCACCACGTCACGCATATACACATTGAAAACAAACACCGTCAGAGCTGTCTACATCGCAATGGATCTTAAAAGCCTCGACATGACGTGTCCTGGGGGAGAGCGGCATCGACGGCACAGCTCCCAATACGAGCAGGTGTCGCGGGCGCGCCGGTATAAACCCCACAACCCCTACCCACCTTGATATACCGTTACCGTTCAGGGCGTGAGAACCACGCAAAGGGGAAAGCGAGTCAAAAAGGGTCGTAGACATAGCAATGGTCCCAAATGTCGGAAACACCCGCATCCCCTGACCCTGAGAGGGATAGGCGTTGCGTGAGGTAGGCGGATGATGCCGCAGCTCTAGTCTCGTTCAACATCGTAAGCGGTGGGCGCAGGGCGACAGCCATGGCAGCACAAACGGAGTCACTACTATGAACGACAAGAACGAAAAAAAAGGGCCAATTGTTTCCCACAAGGAGCCATTGATAATGGACCATCGTGCTGTTCCCCTCAAGCCCTAGGGCCTTGAGATGTTGGATTGCCCCTCTCCCCCCCGGGGTAGGCTCTCGGTAAGCCCTCATGCATATCATCTACAGCCACTGCCGTAAAACAAGACCAGCATGTCGCAGCTAGGAACTCGAACCGGCGCGGGAAAAGGTACCTGCTCATCTACACGGGTATACTACCGCGAAGCCCGCTGCAGGTCATCTTCGAAGCCCGCCGTTGCAATGTCGCTCGGCAGGGCGCAGGAACCAGAACCACGTTACCGGTCCCCAGAGTCCTTGTTTTATTACGGTTCTTGTTCCGAGACATGCACCAGTGTACACAGCGTTAAGTCGAGTCTATCGGACAAGCCTGTTCCTAAACATCGGCCCGTCTCACTGTAGGCTGCCTCCTGAGGGCCATCCCAGCTTTTTGACGTCCGCTAATCAGACGAAGAGGGAGTTGTGGAGTGGTGGCAAGTCACGGACGATACGGAGCTGGCAAGAAAATATCCGTCCAAAGTTCGGTCTTGGACACGGTTCAAAGAAGGATGTACCTATGTCCTCGTAGCACGGTGGATATGCCAGCTGGACCTCGCCGAGGTCGTCTGCCCCATGGTGTCGTGCAGCTGCGGTCTCAGAGCAACGACTGACCACCAACCGCATCGCACGTACCTGCGTGATCTAATCGGACGGGAGAGCTAAGACCGGCGTTCAAGATATGCTCGAGACAAGATGCGGTCTGGCGGTCGTGCGCCAGGCACAGCACAGTCACATGCGGCTCGTTCGCGTCGATGTGGGGGCAACAGCATGCGACCATGAAGCGGCGAGCGCGGGGACCAGGCCATATTTGTACAGATAGAAAAACGGTGGGAACGGTATCGGCACAAGTGCTACTAGGCAGAGCATTGTGAGCAATACGTTCCATCAGATGCGCTGGCGTTGGCAGGTATTTATAAGATACCGCCTCACCGACCTTGGGTCCAGCTCATCGGTGTCACAGGTTGGAGGTGAAGTGAGTGGTTAGGCTATGATGAGAGGCACAGGCACAGTGTGACAGGACGGCAATAGATAGTCTTAAGCAAGGGTGTGGTACCGTCTTGATGGGAGATGTCGTCTCTCGAAAAGGGACGATGGATGATGGATTCAAGCGGCCGCGTCAGATTGCAGATGGGGCGCAGTACGTCTCCAGCTTTGACAGAATCGGATCTGCTCGCCCCGTCTCTAGCGCATCTAAGTGTGTATGCCTGTAGGGGACTAGCGTAGCGTCCGCTATACGTAGGAGGCGCCGAGAACGGGACGACCTGGGGGGGGCCAATGCCCAGTCATCTCCTCGCCCCGAGGCCTTGTCAAGTACTCGACACATCTGGGGATATGCTGGGGACAAGGAATACAGAATGGTGAGAGCGGGCGAACGGGAGTCCGCACTACGTTGTCGAGCCGGGATGGTTGCGTTGCCATGGTTTTGATGGGCCGGGACTGGAGACTGGGACCTCGGCGCAGGCAAACAATGGGAGCAGGGGATGTTTCGGGCTCGGAGCGGTACGGTCAAGCGTCTAGGGTGCATAGAAGCAACAGAACAAGCACGATTCTGTGCGTCTAGATTATCTAGTTGAGCGTCCAACGTGTTCAAATAGTCGATGAATGAGGGAGTGTAGGTGTTCGTCCGTCCGTGGGGCTCTCCATGTTCCATGGCCATTGTTCACCCCATGCCACCAAAGGAAATAGCATACTCCAATGGATGGGTGCGAGAGTGGCTGCTGAGGCTGCAACAGTTGCGCTTTACACAGTGGCCATCATTTCGTATCCGATCTGTAGTGTATATTGGCAACGATGTCGTTGCCGCTGTGTTGATGGGATTGGCTGGCTGACTGCATGACGGTTTGAGAGAGAGCCCAAGGCTATTCCGGCTGCATGGGTGCAGAGCTGCGCTTGGGCACGGGCCCCGCTGAGGGACGGACAAGATGTTGGGGATCTGCGGGTGGAGATTTATTTTGATTTGGCCCGGCGCTGGTTTGTGATTGTTTTTTTCTTTCTCTCTTTCTGCGGTGCTGTTTTCCTTCGCTGAGTGGGGAAGAGGGGGCTTGGTTGTTTTCATCGTCCTGTCATTGGTGTATGAGCTACCCCTGGCATTGCTGGAAGGGGCCCAGCGAAGGGGGGGGGGGAACATCCAAACCGTGTTCCAAATTCCCAATTGTTGGGGGACCGACATTTGCCGTCGTCGTGGATCTCCAAGTCCAGGGCCCAAAGGCCCATAAGGCTTGCGTTTGGTAGCAGTCTTGGGGTGGGGGAACGTGGAAGGAAAAGATCGATAAGCCACCATGGTATCCGTAATTTCATCCGATATCACGTCGGGTGGTCGTATCTCCGTAGTCCCTCGTCGGCCGAAGCAGTCCCTTGATTCTTAGGCGCTTGGCTGGATGGGAAAAAGTTGAATGGTGGTGAATCTCTCCCAAGAAATTGGGCTAGTTGGAATGCACGATGTGAGACTAGAGAGACTTTGGCGTGGTTCACGCTGCCGCCTGTCTTTTCCATCTGAGACAGAGATGAGTTAGACAAGAGCGTTTGGCCACAATGCGCCAGTCCAAGCAAGCAAGCCCAGCGTACCAAACAAGTGGAAGAGTTGAGACGTTGGTTGGCTACAGTCACTTATCGCTCATCGCTCATCGCTCATCGCTCATCGCTCAGCATTCCTCTTCCCGACGAGGCATTGACAGGGACCTGACGCCCAGAGGACTACCTAGCGGAACCTGATGGACGTCCCCGGACGGAGGAGCAGCGACGCTAGGCGGTTTAGAGGTGGCTAAGCGAGGCAACGGTTAGTTGTTGAGGCTTCCACCCCTGGCGACATCTGACTGACCGCCTGCGCGATTGGGCTTGGAACGGAGGAGGGGATGCGCTGGGATTCTGGTTGGACTAAATGGGTCCGGTCGGTCCTTGTGACAAAACTTGTTAGGGGACGGGCCTGTTCCGGTTGACGTCGAATGCTGGGCATCAAGGCCGATGGCCCATCAAAGATGCCATGCGAGTGTCTCCGTAGTGTAGGGACAGGAGATACGCATTGTCATATCGGGACGCCTGGACGTGTTTACCCATCGAGCTGGATCGGGAGCCCACGAGACGTGGGTGTCGGGTCTGGGTGTCATTCTGCGGCGGTGACGGTCGGTGTCAATTTGTCTGCCGCCTTATCCAGCGAATGTAGGTAGTG